GCGTTTCTGTGGGGAGTTGGTAATGGTCAAATTTTAAAGAATGTTTGTTTTTGCTTTCGCTGCATACAATTTCATATCAATATATATTTTTATTTTTTAAATTGTTTTCTTTTTTTTTTTTTTCTCTAGACCAGTTTAAACCATGGAATCTCAACATGCACATTGTGTTAATTGTGTCAGCCGACGTTGTATGACTAGACCAGAGGCTGGAGTTTCCTGTGATTTGATAGGCTGTCCACATGTTTGTGGAGCAGTTTTCCATTCCTGCAAAGCTGATGAACATAGAATGTTATGCCCTCTTGAAAGAGTGCCTTGCTTAAATAATGGATTTGGATGTCCTTTTAGTGTGATCCGTAACAAGTTAGCTGAGCATCTGCAAATATGCCCTGCAAGTGTAGTATGTTGTACAATGGAATGGAACAGATGGCCAGTGAGTTATGCAGACCGGAAATCGTATGAAAACCTAAGTAAGGATGTTGATGTAGTTGAGCAGTTAGACATGGCCTTAGCTCTGCAAGATCAAAGAATGCTTTTGGAGTCACTGAAAGTTGCAACCATGATGTCTAAAACAACTGGCAATCTTGACTCTCAAGAACAAATAACTGTTGCATCAATTGACAGCAACCACACACTTGCAAATGGCTTAAATGGCGATGAAGATTCATACAGTGCACTTTATCAAGCAACTGTAGAGACCACTAAGAGTTTAGCAGCTGCTCTTGATGTCCTAAATAATGCTACAAGAGACATAGCTATGCTTAATGGACGATTACGTGATGCAAGCTGTGAGATGAATAAAAATTTCCAACTTACAGAGGAGAATGATGCATGTAACTCATATCTCAAAGATCAGGAATTAGAAGATGAAGAGTTCGTGGGAGCTGTTGGTGGAACAGTCACGTGTCCATTGAAACACGCACATCAAAATGGTTCTAGTGATTTCTATCCTGAAAAAGAAGACAAAGCCAATAATATAACAGAAGAAACAGTGTTGTGCAATGGCTTCCATGATGAAACCCCCTCTGGTCTTCAGAGACCAGATAAAGAGGAAGGACACAATTGTGGAGCAAAACAAAATGGTGCTAGTAGTCTATTAAAAGAAGAATCTGGATATAAACTTTTGAATCCCAATGGTTCTTCAACAAGCTTACTCAAAAAGCAACCAGTTACATGCATAATGAATGGAGTAAAGGAAGAGAACTCTTCAGAAGAACAAAAATTAGACCGAAAAGATGAACATGGACTGAGAAATGTGGCTGTGTTTGGCAGGCGTCCTTTTCTGGTTGACGCTTATTGGTTTAAAGCAAAAATGGAAGACAAAGCAGTTGATACAACAGACTTAGAGATACAAGAGGATCCCATGGGCCTTAATGGAATTGACCTGATTACAGCAGCTTTACTGTTCTGTTTAGGAGACTCACCTGGTGGTAGAGGTATTTCTGATAGTCGGAATGTTGATGGGTATCATGTTGACTTTGGAACACAGACATTCTCTTTTCCTTCTGCAATATTGGCAACAAATACAATGGTAGGGGACATAGCATCAGCTTCTGCATGTGATCATGCAAATCCTCAGCTTTCTAATCCCAGTCCTTTTCAGACTCTTGGCCTGGATTTGGTACTGGAATATGTTGCAAGATACCAAACCAAACAGAGGTCTATGTTTACATTTGTATGTGGACAGTTGTTTAGAAGAGACGAGTTTTCTTCTCATTTCAAGAATGTTCATGGTGATATTCATGCAGGATTAAATGGTTGGATGGAGCAAAGGTGCCCATTGGCATATTATGGGTGTACATACTCCCAACGTAGATTTTGTCCATCGACACAAGGATCCAAAATTATTCATGACCGGCATTTGAGATCTTTTGGAGTTCAACCCTTCTTACCTAGACAACATGAATCTACAAAATGTTCATCATTTGGACAACCTGTTGATCATTTTAGTAGTTTGCCTTATGAAGTATTGCAACATATTGCAGGTTTTCTTGACGGCTTCACTTTGTGCCAACTTTCAAGAGTGTCTAAGCTAATGAGGGATGTGTGCGCCAGCTTGCTTCAAGCTCGTGGAATGGTTGTTTTATTGTGGGAAAAAAGGCAATATCCAAATGGAAGTTCGTGGCAAATAAAGGAAAAGGTATTTACAGCTCAAATTTCCAAATATAAGCATTGCATTTATTTTACCTTTATCAAATGGTGTTTAAAAAAAGGGGAAAAAAAGTTCTTAAATTAAGTGTAATAATTTATGTGCAAAATGCAATAGCTTAAACTTTAAGCTACTGCACAAATTCTAAACAAATCAAATAACTATTTAGTGTCTATAAAAGTAGTGTATATTAGGTTAAAAAAAACAATAAAAAGCAGAGTGCTACAATCACCTATGTGGGTCACTCCACCACACATAAATAAGTGAATAAAATGGTAAAAGTGGTGAGAGGACACAAAATAAAAATAACAAATTTGTTACCACTATGTTCGATTAAAATCCTGTAAAAGACAAAATCAGGAGAAGAAACATAGGGTAATAACGTACAGATAATTGATATATCATTTAATAAATGTACAAACTCACATATTTCTGAGCCACTTAAAATGAAAGCTGGCTCAGACTAAGAACGTTCAATAGATGGTATAGTGGTAGCTGAAGTTAAATGCCAACTGCTTACTCGTCCCTTCTTTCAAGAAACCCAGGATGCAGGATCTTCATTTAAAAAAGGTTTATTTTCCAAAGTAAAAACAGCAGCAAAAATAAAAATCAGCAATCACACTGTCCACACACTGACGCGTTTAAGCCAAAGCCTTTATCAAAGTGTAAGTCCATTCAGTCCGTTCATAGTTTAAATAGGAGCCTTTTCGCGCCCTTTTTCCCCAATTGGTAATAATAAGCTCCTCCCCTTCAAATTAGACGCAGCCGACAACCGGCATCCTTGCTTATGTGGTTATCTTATTTTACTCCCGCGTTCGTCATGATGACGTGGGGGGGATCTGTTCGCTTATGCCGATTAGACTTTGGTGTTGCAGAGGGAATTCTCTGCTACAAAGTGCAGCATACATATTGTCATATTCTATCATTTAAAAACAATATTACAACACATAAGAAAATTAGTGGGAGAAAAAAAACAAAAAAAAAGTATTGATTCATTTAAAGATAAAGTAATACAGGAGGAATAAAGTCAACTATAAACAGCAGGCAAACATCTTGCACAATATTTCATTTTTAACTATTTTCTACAAATATTAATATAACACATCTATATATGCATAAAATTTGATAGAGAAAAGATGAGTATTTCCTAAAAGTCTATATTTTTACTGATATAAAAATTCGTGCCTGGGATAAAATTAAATGCATTTATTGGAAATTGTTCAATAAATAAGAATATAATATAATATAAAAAAGTTATACAAAAAATTCCATTAAAAATTCCTTAAAATTAAACATAAGTATTAATCTCAAAAACTGCATTAAGCTCCCTCGGTGTAAGTGTGTCCAAATTAAAAATCCATCTCATTTTGGTCTTGCTTAGGAGACTATCTTAATCTCCACCTCTCCAGTGCATTTTGACATGATCTATTGCAAAAAACTCCAAGCAACTAGCATCTCCATTATGATGTTCCATGAAATGCTTGGACACACCATGATTGGGGAATTTCCTTTGGATGTTGTATATATGCTCCCTAATCCTTGTCTTGAATGGGCGTGATGTCTTCCCTACATATTGTCCACAAGGACAGGTTAGCATATATACAACATCCACTGTATTGCATGTGATAAAATACTTTATTTCATATTCTTTTTTAGTATTAAAATAAATACATTTAAAAATTCTCCTCTTATTCCCAGTTCTTATCTTGCACCCTCTACAATTTCCACAATAAAAGAATCCTTTTTGTTCTTTTAAAAAATTGTTAGGGCATTCAGTCTTTTTTTTTACATCAAAGAAGCTATTCGTTAGAATTTGTTTAAAATTCCTAGCTCCTCTAAAGATAAGTCCGAGTTGATCCCCCTATGAATGGGCGTATTTCATCATCTATACTTAAAACATGCCAATTTTTCTTGATAATTCTGCGAAGATTATGATTGTTAGAATTAAAATAAAAAATTAAAGGGAGAGTTTTTGATGTTTCAAGATGTTTTTGATGAAGAAACATCAAAAACTCTCCCTTTCATTTTATATTCCAAAATCCACTGGAGAGTAAAGGCTCCTATTTAAACTATGAACGGACTGAATGGACTTACACTTTGATAAAAGCTTCGGCTGAAATGAGTCAGTGTGTGGACAGTGATTGCTGATTTTTATTTTTGCTGCTGTTTTTACTTTGGAAAATAAACCTTTTTTTAAATGAAAATCCAGCATCCTTGGTTTCTTGAAAGAAGGGATGAGTAAGCAGTTGGCATTTAACTTCAGCTACCACTATACCATCTATTCAGCGTTCTTAGTCTGAGCCAGCTTTCATTTTAAGTGGCTCAGAAATGTGAGTTTGTACATTTATTAAATAATATATCAATTATCTGTACGTTTCTACCCTATGTTTCTTCTCCTGATTTTGTCTTTTACAGAATTTTAATTGAACATAGGGGTAACAAATTTATTTTTATTTTGTGTGCTCTCACCACTTTTACAATTTTATTCACTTATTTAGTGGCTATACTCCCAATGAAAACGTGTATGCATTTAAAGGGACGCTATAGTGACCAAAACAACTTTAGCTTAATGAAGCCATTTTGGTGTATAGATCATGCCCCTGCATGATCATGCTCACTACTCTGCCATTTGGGAGTTAACTCACTTTGTTTATGCAATTCACATGCTAGTCATACCTTCCTGCATGTGAATTGCACAGCCTTCCTGAACATTTACTGTAAAGTGAAGTCTAATGTTTACACTTCCTTTATTGCAAATTCTCTGTTAATAGCTTGCTAGACCATGCAGGAGCATCCTCTATTTAATTAAAGTCCAATTTACAGAGCAGGGAATAAAAATTTCTAAAGTGAGTTAACATCTGATTGACAATGAAACAAGGCAGGGGAAAAGTTATGTAACTCCTAAACGGCAGATAATTGAGCAGTGAGACTTCAGAGACGTGATCTATACACAAAAAATACTTTATTAAGGTAAAGTTGTTTTGGTGACTATAGTGTCACTTTAAATTATGCTTCTTTTTCATTAGAAGTATAGCTAACAGCTTGCAAAACGCTGTCTGGTGCCTTTGCAAGTTTTAATTTGACTGAAAAGAAAAAAACATTTCTAAAAGCTAAATTGGAGATGGTTCAAATTAAAATGTAATATACTCCATTTGTGTTTTTAATTCTTCTAAAGTAAGTATGAAATTGGCAATGAAAACATCATATGCTGGCTTCATGCACATTCCCTTGTAATCTTCACTCAGAGTACAGATAGTGAAGAGTTAGAAAATGAGCAAAATCTTTGTATACAGTTTAATCTGATATTTGAATGAAAAAAACATATATATGTCCTAAAAATAGCTGGTCAGTTCAGCCCCAGTCTCATTTATAGCCTATTTGCTATTGACTGCGGTATGGAACATGAAGACTTCTGTTGTTTTTATTTGTGACCAATAACTTACACTCTCTTGTACTTCACATTCACTTTATACCATATTGTTTTACTTGTATAAGTGCTGGTTTTGTGTTTTTAGTTGGTTTGGGTTTTTGTTTTTTCCCCATACCTGTATTCATGTTTTTTGTTTTCTTCTAGGTCTGGCGTTTCAGCACTGCTTTTTGCACAGTGAAGGAATGGAAGTTCGCAGATATTGTGAGCATGGCAGATCATTTGAAAAAATGCAGCTTCAATACTGTAGAGAAGAGAGAAGTAGCCGTTCCTCTACCTTGCATGTGTGTGACTCGGGAACTCACAAAAGAAGGGCGTTCACTACGATCTGTCTTGAAACCTGTCCTTTAACAACAAAGGGGGAAAAAGTTCTCATCCACCTGCACCAACACTCAAGCACCAGTTTTATCCTCTATACAAGTTGTGACACTTTAATATTTAACTAAAATCCACTCTAGTACTGTATATAGCAATGATTTTGGAAGTGATGTTTATTTTTTTACATATATATATTAAAGTATATATATTAAAGTGAAAACCATTTTAGAGTCGTACAAATGCGAAGTGATGATAAATGCCTTAAATATGAAGGAAGTCAAATTCTGCCGGACACAGACGCCTATGACTTTCTAAATGTAAATTACTAATATTCCTTATGGGATCTTGATCTTTTAGCACAGTTTGCTGATTCACTAGTGCCATTACCCTGACAATTGTACAGAAACCTTCTATGAACAATAACTAGCCTTCATCATCTTGACCAAAAATAAATGTGGAATGTATTGGTGTTTGTTTTGAGCATATGTTTGTTTCCACTGTCCATAAACTTATTAAGGAAAAACATGCATGTGCATAAAATAAAACAAAAGCCTGTTGTATTTTTAGGCTCCTAGTCCCAGTAGTAGACTGGCCTTATACCAGGTTTGAGCTGAAGCCAATTAGTTATCAAAAAATAGTACCATTTACTTAAACTTCATGGAGTACAGAATATGCACTTGATTTACTCAAAGAAGCAGTTCTATATGAATGTCATCATATACCCCTCATTAGCACTTTATTTCTAATCTCCAGAAGTCCTCAGGCTGCATTAGGGATCAAGTGCTTCAGCTATGCAGCATGTAGCATAAAGGGGTCTTCAGCTTCTCCTCAGAATGTTTTGCTGCCTGTCTAGTAAATTCCGTTTTATGCACTACCTTTCTATATTAGTGATGGAACTCATTCAAACTTGGTGGGAGGGTAGGTTATCCAGTATATTAAACTAAAGTCTAAATTTTTAACATGCAGCTAACTTATTTGACACGCCCTCCCCCCCACCATTCACCCTTCTCTGTCTTATTAAAGGTTATTTAAAAGTACAAGATGCTTGGAATTGATTTATTATTTTTTTTCCTGTGTTGTTTTACTTATCTTTGTGAGATGAGCTAAAACAAATACGGATATCACTTACACATTTGGTATTGAGATTTTATTTGTAAAACTGTAAATGATCACGTCTTCCACATTTAGATTTCTATTTGAGTGCTGAGTGTATTTTGGTTTTGTTTGTTGTTTAATTTGAGATGTGTTAAGAGATTTCACATGTTTACTGACATAGTAACTGGTGAAAAAATGTCGGTCTCCATCCTATGCCTTCCTTGTAAAATGTTCTAATACATGATTACAAACTAGTTAAGCTGTCTAACCAGCGTTGAGGGTAGTTTACTGGCAGATTTTAATTTATTAATTATTTTCTTTCCATTTTCATGTGAGCAAAAATGTTTTGTTTTGTTTTTTCATCTGCTCATATTTGGATGTCAAGACTGTGTGTTTTTTGTGTGTGTTTTCTTCTTCAAAGACTAGTAACCCCTTACAGCAAAGCACTTTTTGTAAAACAGTATTTAAATATTTTAATAAAGATGCTGGTATGAGACAAACTCCATATTTTTGAGTTTAGGCTTAGCTGCTTCTCAAAATCATGCACATATATTGAGAATATTCTGAACTTCACAGCTTTGGGACCTGTCACCTATAAATTTAAACATGGTTGTTTGGTAGAAAGTGGTACATGTCATGACTCAATTATGCATAGAGAAGCATGGTACATTTTAAATGCATTTATTTCATTCTGGGCATTTAATCATCCTATCTGGTGAGCATGGTAGGTTTTTATTTGTTTGTGAATTTTCTCAGGTGCATTTTGTTTACATTACTGCCCATGTGCTACTAGAACATTACTGTTTTTATTGAATCCTTTCAGAATGAATAAAATTGAGCATTGGACTCTCGTTTGCTAATATTTTTCTATTACTGATCATACGTTCAATACAGCTTCTTGGGAGTAGCTCAACCAATAATAAATTATAAAGGTAGATAAAGAAATTAAGATCTTCCTGTTGGTTAAGCTGTGCACACATGGTGGCATAACATACCAGCATCCAATCTTTCCTGCTTTGAGTAATTCCACCAAGTCTTGCACATATTTGGATTATTTTGGTGCCTTTTTTTTTTTTGTCCTATACAGTATTCGCTATAATTTACACATTATACTAAACAGGTTGCTGAAATTCTGATGCCAGGTTTATTAGGAAATTCCAGTGCCTATGGCACATCTAGAAGACTATATATGTTTTTGTTTAAGATCAAAGACATACGTGAAAGGATATTCCCAATGTATTCCTTGTAGCATATTGAATCAAACAAATTTGAAATAAATACAAATATCTGGACTTTTTGGAAGACTACTTTATTCAAATTGATCATTCTATTACATTTTCTAAACATTCATTATGTTGTTATAATTCACACACAAACATTTATATATATTTTATGCATGGTGTCTAGATTGTTACCTAGAAACTAATTAAGTCTCCCACTTTTAATATAAACATTTGGTAACATTTGATTCCATTAATATCACAGGTGTGGTCAAAATGATTTATTTTGCAATTATAAAACATATTTATGGTGTATAATAAACTCTAATAAACTTGTTTTTCTTGATTTTCATCTGGTACATGCTTTGTATAACTCAATAATTAAATCATCTTTAATGTTGTTTTTTTTCAGTACAAATAAGTATGCTTTCTTTTCATGCACATTTTTTAAATTCAGTACTCATAGGAGGGATCTTTGTTAAATCAGCTCAGTGGTTGTAAAACAAAATGTCCAAGCATGGAAGTGAGATTTAGGGCCTCTTGCTGCACTTTGGATGTCATGTTTAAAGTGGACTCTTGATGCAACAAATATCTTAAGTGGTTTTGGTGTGCAGGTCATGTTCCTGCAGTCTCATTGCTCAATTCTCTGCCATTTAGGAAATAGTTTGTTTTTGTTTTGGAAATTAGTCAAATCACAGTGTTTAACTTCCCTGGCTATGATTCACACAGCTTTCCTACACGCTTCCTGAAAATGATTCTAAATGTTTTAGCTTTGCTTATTGCATAGTTTTATTTTTTATAAACACTTTTTTTATTATTGTGAATGCTAATTACAACACATGTGTCAAGCATAGTGTCTGCTACAGGAAGTTTGTCATGGAACAGATACGGAGTCAAGAGTTTACATGAAGCATTCTCATTCACTTTTTTGCACGTAACAATACAACATAAGTAAAACAAAACAAAAGTTTGTCGAGTATAACATGGCCATGGATAATTTTCAGACAGTATAGTTGTATCAAAGGTCAATAGGATCCCAAATAATAATGCAAAAAAAAACCCAGAAAACACCATCGTTGAAAAAAAAAAAAAAAGAGAAATCTGCGTCTCCAACCGTGGTCATTTAAAGAGGAGTAAGTGGTGGCCAGGGAAAGAATCAACAAGGAGGAATCAATGATACCTCCATTTCTCCTGAACAGAGAATATAAAGTGCACAATTTTTGAATTAATTACAAATATGCAAATTACAACTACAATTACAATACCACTATGCAGAGGCACCAGTTACATCCAGTTCCCTTGGTTAGTTAATGTTCAGTTGATGAAGGCATTGTTGTCTCATCGCTGTCTGCAACAATATGTCACTTCTGATCGTATAATTAGTAGTTATGCCTGGTTAGGGGTCATTGGTTAGTAATGTGTGAATAGGTTAGACAGAGTGGCCGTCAATATGGTAAATTATTAACTTTATTTGACGTCCGGTTCAACTTTGGGAAGTGGTGGACTGGACATGTAACTTAACAAAAATACAAATAACCAAAATAACTGAACTGTGTGCCGGTTTGGTCGCCCAGTCCCCCAACCTTCCAATTCAGCTTTGTATGCGTCTATTTTTTTACCTGCCTGTGTTCAACGAGCTGTTATTTGTAAAGGGTCTCGACCAGCAACCACTTCTGCCAAGAACCACGCTGTGTACTCTAGGGCATTCCTCACGTTGGTCTTAAAGGAGTCATCCAAAGTAAGGAGATATGATCTCCAGGTCAGGATAAATTTCCTGGCAAGGATTTCTTTGTTGGTTAGTGTCGCCAACCAATCCATTTTGAAAATATATTTGAGTTTAGTTAAAAATAATTGTAGCGTGGGAGTGTTTGGCTGGTTCCAGACCTGCAGAATGTCCTTGCGTCCCAATAGCTGCTATTATGAGGAGGAATTGTTTCAGTTAGGGGCTCCCTGAGGACAGGTCACAAGAACCCTGGGGTCAATGGTAGTGTGGGCATGTTCCCATTCGTAAGGTATGTTTTCACCTCAGTCCAAAATTATTGTATTAGTGTGCATTCCCACAGACAGTGATATAAGTCGGCTTTTGTGTGTGTGCATTTGAAACCGGTCACTGAGTCCTTCCTAGCCATTAGATGTAGTCTGTGTGGGGAATAATAAGCATAGTATAGGGTCTTTAGAAACATGTCTCTGTAAGAGACGATATGAAGGATTTGGCATTGGTCTTGGTGCGCCCTCAGGTGTCTGTACGAGTTATGTCAGAGGAGTGGCTTTTCCATTTTTAAGGTTAGTAGTTTGAGGAAAAAGGGTTTAGTACATGCATTTGGAGTGTATACATTTACAATACAGTAGCAAGTAGGATGGATACTAAGACATAGGAAGATATAGCGTCCTTCGGGATCTATTTCACAACTATGAATAACATTGCAAATTAGAGTGCAACAGGATCGCCACTCCTCTGGTTTCCTAATTATATTTAGCCGCGATACAAGCCTGGATTCAGGGGGCCCTGAGGTGAGATAGCTTCAGAACTTGACCAATGAGTTTCCTGCAGTAATGTGTTTTGGGCTTGATATTCAGTCAGGTAGGTGAGTATCTTCTTTCGTTTGGGTGTGTGTGGTCCCTTTATATTCCAGGATAGGAACTTGAGAGTAGAAGCAGAGTTGTGTTGAGTTGATAGACATTTTTGTTCAGCTGACTCCTCAGCGTGGTGGATAGTAGAAGACATGTTGATATGTAGTAGTGAGATTCCGTCTGTCCCAGCTCGAGCAGACGGGTAAATCCCAGTGTGGAGGCGGAAGGGGCAGGGTACGATACCGGCATGAACAGGGCCCCATGGGCTAACTTGTGTATAATAGTTTAAACCAACAGATTAGGAAGGTGAGATCACTGTAGTCCCTCGTGATCAGGCACTGGATAGGTAGGCCGGCTGGATGAGCCCTTATCCCAGACCGGCATGACATCTTGAAGGAATTTTGAGGCCTCAGCCACTAATGAAGTGGAGAGGATATGATTGGCAATTTGTAGGCAAAGAGTGGCTGGTTAGAAAAGGGAAAACCGTATGCCTTTGCTATATAGCATTGAACATATGGGAGTAAATGCCTTTCGTCTCTGGGTGACTTGAGCAGAGTAGTCCTTGAAGATCAAGGTTTTGTTATCTTGGTATGTGTGATTATTGGAGGATTTGTAAGATTCTAGTATATGCACTGTATCGTGATAATTAAGAAATTTTGCAATAATTGGCCTTGGTCTTTTTGTCGGGCCAAGGTGGCTGCAATTTGTAGAGTATCTCGGATCCAAGATTGTAGAGTAGGAATTATGTCAGTGGATCTCAAGGTTTCTTGGAAACCAACAAATATAAGATTGCTTCGCCAGCTTCTGTTTTCTAGGTCATCTAACTTGTCTTGCAGGGATTTTAATGTGGTATGCTGCTGTTAAATGGTGGAGTGTAGCTGATGAAGATAGTCTTCCGTTGTGCTTTGTCTAGTTTCTAAGAGCGTGAGTTGGGATAAGTGAACTTGTAGGAGATGTAGAGAATTATCTATAGACCTTTTGAGGTCTTTAAATTGGTCTGTTTCAAAAATCAGTTTGAGTAGATTCTAGACTTCTCGTGCTCTCTCCGATGCTTGTCGTGATATAGGAGTGGCTTGGAGAAGCGCTTGGGGTGGACGCTCTTCTGTCTCTGAGTCCGTTGGAGAGAGATGTGGAGTTGAAGGTAAGGTAGGTTCTTTGAGATGCGGCTCCTTCACTGGTCTTTGTGGTTTTCCTTGAGATCTTGTAGAAGGCATTTTGTCTATGAATTTGTCCATGACAGTGGAGCAAAGTTAGAGATCACTTGGGAAAAAATTAGGGTGGAGGAGAAGGTAAGAGTGTGGCGAGTTGAGATATGGTGGATGGTGTTGTGTGGCGGTAGATGGAAAAGTGTGGACGTAGAGGTTCGATAAGTGAAATTTGGAATTTGTGTTCGTAGAAAGTTAGTACTATTGTCAGGTATGTGTGAACATGTAATGATATGTGCAATGTTACTCAGAAGGGAGAATTAGAGCAAAGTTTATAAGTGGGAAAAAGTGGAACAATAGGAGAGAAAAAAGGGTTAAGGAGTGGAGCAGGTAAGAAAACCGTCTGGATTTTAAACAAGGTGTCTGAGGTGGCTAGTTGCTGTGTTGTCTTTTCATCAGCCAGGGCCAGGTGTGTTGTCGTTTGAGACAATGGGATCAGAAACCAAAGCAAGAATCAGTTGTTCATTATTCGTGGTGTTATATCTTTAGATGTCACACTGGAACCAACTAGGCAAAGTGATGTCTGGGTTTGTAGTGGCTTTAGGTAGGTAGGACTGGAAGGTGTGTACAAAGCTCAGTCCCTTTGAAACTTTATAGGTTAGCTCTCAAGTCGCTACACCACAGTTACGATTTTTGTTGTGGAGAAGGAGAGGTTTTTTAACAGGGATCTTCTTTGCCTTGTCGTGTATGTGTTCCCAGCTTTATGCAGGTTAACCATTTGAGGCCAAATAGGAACGTTGGAATATTGGTTGTAAATGATGCCAGAGGGCAAATAGATTTACAGCATCTTATTAGGTAAGCTTCTGTAATCAGCAACTAGATTTGCAGCATCTTAGTAGGAAAGCCTGTGTGAGCAGAGAAGCAACAGTGATAATAAAGGCCAATTGATGTGGCAAGAAATAATAAAAAGAAATCTAAAATATGAAAAGAATGTAATTTACATTGTGGCCTGTCCAGTATTAAATGTGGCGTATGGGAGAGTGTCAGAGCTGTATCCCCACTTTGTGCATTAATACTGAAGCTGCTCTTTGCTTGTGATAGCTCCTTAGAGTGGCACAGGCTGTACTGGGTATGGAGAGTCTGCTGAGAGATGCCCAAAATGGTGGTGACTAGTGGTTTGGCTCAGTGCTAGTGTGTTGCTCACTGTTTTGTGAGAGGTTGCTTTTTTGCAGTTCTACTCTACAGGCACCCCCCTTTTTTCCGTGATGCACCTCAGCTCACTAGTGGCGGTTGGATTCGAGAGGATATACTCCTCTGGTGAAGGTAGGAATCCGAAGACAGGCTGAACTTTTCAGCCTATTGCATAGGCCTTGATTTCCGGCTGTCCCTGCAGTGTGTTCCGAGGTCTAGTGGGTCCTGCTGAGGCACTAAACATAGATCAGGGTGCCACAACACCCCTCTTTCATGTGGTTTAGGTCTGTGCGGCTTGTACAGGGCTGGATGGCACCTGTACAAGCTGAAATTAAAAACACATTATGCAGATGGCTTCCGGTTCCGCCTCCGAGCCGGACACAGCAATCAGGTGCCCCATCCAGCCCACGTGGAGCGGCGAAACTGCCGCAGGTGCATCTGCCACCCGATGGGCCCTATATCTTCAGGGGCCCGGTCAGCGCTGCGGCTGGGTAATTGCGCGACCAGGCCCCTTTAAATAAAATTGCGGCTACACCGCAAGTGCTGCTGGGAAAAGTGATGGCCAGTCACTTCCTCCCAGCTTACTCCGCGCGGGGGGAAAGGGAGAGCGGAGGAGAGGACAGGATGGGGACACCAGAGGCATCCACTCCCATCATCCCCAGCCACCCTCCTGCAACTTAAAGATAAGAAGAGGGTGGCTGATAAATGGTGTGTGTGTGTGTGTCTGCAAGTATGTGTGTATGTCTGAGTGTATGTCAGTATGTATGTCTGTGTGTGTTACATAGCTGAAAAGAGACTTGCGTCCATCAAGTTCAGCCTTCCTCACATTTGTTTTTTGCTGTTGATCCAAAAGAAGGCAAAAAAAAAAAAACAGTTTGAAGCAATTTTGCAACAAGCTAGGAAAAAAATTCCTTCTTGACTCCAGAATGGCAGTCAGATTTATCCTTGGATCAAGCAGTTATTACCCTACATTGAAAGATTATATCCTTGAATATTCTGTTTTTGCAAGTATGCATCTAATAGCTGTTTGAACATCTGTATGGACTCTGATAAAACCACTTCTTCAGGCAGAGAATTCCACATCCTGATTGTTCTTACAGTAAAAAACAACAACTTTCCTTTGCCTTAGACGAAATCTTCTTTCTTCCAGTCTAAACGCATGGCCTATGTAAAGTCCAGTTTGTGAATAGATTTCAACACAATGGTTTGTAATGGCCCAGAATATATTTGTATAATGTTATCATATCCCCTCTCAGGCGACGTTTTTCTAAACTAAATAGGTTTAAATTTGTTCATCTTTCTTCATAGCTGATATTTTCCATTCCTTTTATTAATTTTGTAGCCCGCCTCTGCACTTTTTCTAGTGCCATAATATCCTTCTTTAGAACAGGTGCCCAAAATTGCACAGCATATTCAATATGTGGTCTTACCAGTGATTTATAAAGAGGCAAAATGATATTCTCGTCCCGAGAATGAATGACAATACCTTACTGGCCTTGGCCACTGCTGATTGACATTGCACATTGTTGCATAGTTTGTTGTCTATAAGAATTCCCAAGTCCTTTTCGTGTGTTGTTATCCCTAATTTGCTTCCATTAAGGGTATACGTTGCTTGTGTATTCTTTACGCCGAAGTGCATAACTTTAAATTTTTCAACATTAAATCTCATCTGCCATTTGAGTGCCCAGTCCCCAGTCTATCTAAATCCCTCTGCAGCAAAGTAATATCTTGCTCACATTGTAATATTTTACAAAGTTTTGTGTCATCTGCAAACACTGAAATATGACTTTCAATGCTGTCTTCAAGATCATTTATAAACATGTTAAATAGAAGGGGTCCCAGAACAATGTTAATGACAACTCTTTGTACTCTGTTTTTAAGCCAATGTTCTACCCAAGAACAAACATTTTCATCTAGACCAATTTCCTTGAGTTTGAACACTAATCTATTGTGTGGAACTGTATCAAATGCCTTGGCAAAATCCAAATAGATCACATCTACTGCAACACCTTGATCTATACTTCTACTTCCTTTTTCGTAGAACGCAATAAATTAGTTTGACATGACCTGTGCTTCATAAAACCATGCTGATTTTTGCTGATAACCATGTTCTTCTCAATTAATTCTTGAATATTATCCCTTAATAACCTTTCAAATATTTTACCAGCCACAGAAGTTAAGCTCACAGGTCTATAATTTCCAGGCAAGGATTTTGAACCCTTTTTGAATATAGGAACCACATCTGCCTTCCTCCAATCCTCCAGAACACTTCCTGAAAGAAAAGAATCTTGAAAGATTAAAAACAGAGGTTCACTTATTTCTACACTTAGTTCCTTAAGTACATGTGGATGGATACAGTCAGGCCCTGGAGCTTTATTTATATTAACTTTCTTTAGTTGCTGCAGCACCTTGTCTTGAGTTAACCAATTACAATTATTCTGCAAGTTTTTAGTAGCAATCATTTGTGTGTGTGTATGTCTGTGTGTATGTATGTATGTCAGTATGCATGTATGTCTGTGTATGTCGGTATGTATGTCTGTGTGTCAGTATGTATATATGTCTGTGTGTGTCTATGTCAGTATGTATGTGTGTATGTATCTATCTATCTATCATCTATCAGTATGTATGTCAGTATGCATGTATGTCTGTGTGTATCTGTGTATGTATATATCTGTGTGTGTGATTATGTCTGTATGTATGTATATCAGTATCTATGCGTATGTATGCCATTATGTATGTATTTGTGTATGTATGTCTGTTTGTCAGTATGTATGTCTGTATGTATGTACAACAGTGTGTGTGTGTATCTGTATCTGTGTATGTGTCTATATGTGTGTATGTCTGTTTCAGTATTTGTGTCTGTTAGTATGTGTGTATCTTTCTGTGTGTGTGTATTCCTGTGGGTGGGATTTGGAGGCGGGCACACGGGGGCCCAGACCTTGAGCTGTGTTAGGGTCCCTGGTTGTGCTCTAAAGTTTGCATACCCTGGAAGAAATTGTGAAATTTTAGCATTGATTTTCAAAATATGACTGACCATGCAAAAATATGTATTTTATTGCAGGATAGTGATCATATGAAGCCATGTATTATCACATTGTTATTTGGCTCCTTTTTAAACCATGATAACAGTAATCACTAAAATGGCCCTGATTAATAGATTACATACCCTTGAATGTTTGGCCTTGTTACAGACACACAAGATGACACATACTGGTTAAAATGGCAATTAAATGTACATTTCGCACACCTGTGGCTAATTGCAATTAGTGTCTGTGTATAAATAGTCAATGAGTATGTTAGCTCTCACGTGGATGCACTGAGCAGTCTAGATACTGAGCCATGGGAAGGAGAAAACAATCAAAAAACCTTTGTAACAAGGTAATGGCCTTGAAAATGCCAGTCAGTACCATCACTTATTAAGAAGTGGAAAATTCAGGGATCTCTTGATACCAAGCCAAGGTCAGGTAGACCAAGAAAGATTATAGCCACAACTACCAGAAGAATTATTCGGGATACAAAGAAAAACCCACAGCTAACCTCAGGAGAAATACAGGCTGCTCTGAAAAAAGATGGCATTGTAGTTTCAAGGAGCACAATATGATGATACTTGAACAAAAATGAGCTGCATGGTTGAGTTGCCAATAAGAAGCCTTTACTGCGCCAATGCCACAAAAAAATCCTGGTTACAATATGCCCGACAACACCTTGACACACCTTACAACTTCTGGCACACTAATTTAGAGTGACCAGACCAAAATAGAGTTTAATGGTCACAACCATAAGCGCTATGTTTGGAGAGGGTTCAACAAGGCACGTAGAGAAAATAATGCAAATATAAACAAGGCGAAGTATCTTACATATAGGTCTGAATGCTTTAGTCTTTAAGGAATATGGTCCTA